AGAACAAAATATTATCCATTGTTTTTCAATGTTAAGACTATTACCCTGAACTATAAACGTAGAAGAAAAGTTTATGAAAAAGAAAAAGAAAACAAAAAAGAAAGAAAATCTGGATTATATTCCGTCGGAGATAAGTTCACGTCAAACGATGGCGTACGTGTTTATCGGCTAACATTTCATGATTAATATTACGAAAATATGAAAGATGATACTCTCAAAGCCATAGAATTTGAAACAAAACGACATTATTATGCCGTGAATTATATACATACATACATATATACATTGATGCATGACCGTGACTATCTTTTCATCCTCATAGGATACCACGGAAGTTACTCGTCCCGTTTATTCCCTGTGAAAATCGTCAACGAGAGAGGCACGACGATAGAAGCTCCCTGTATAGTTAACGACAACGTGTTAAGGCCCGCGCGTAGCGATAAGGGTGGTCTCTCCCTCTTGCCGGCCGTAAGCCGATGCGGATGGCTGTAGGGTGAATTTAAAGGGGCAGTCGGACTTCTCGTCTTGCCTCGCCTTTAACTACTACGGCCGGGATTGGATAGAACTTGCGATAGAACTTGTAGGTAGACAGTCTGCCGCATCGACTGCATCACGTACACGATGAAGTGTATTAGTAGACTGTACGCGCATCTCTCTCTCTCTCTCACTCTCACTCTATCTGTCCATCTATCTATCTATCTATTTATCTCTCTCTCTCTCTCTCTCTTTCACTCTCTCTCCCTCCCTCTCTCCCACTTTAAACACGGACCTTTCAAGCTCACTACTGGCTCTTGCGCACTTTAGTGCCAGAGAGTATATTCCATGTGTTTCCAACACGGCTCGACACTTAACCCTCGCAAACGGACTGTGTTGTTAATTCAATGCCTACACGTCGACTCTACGTCACTCGTGATGGACTGGACTTCCGGTGCGTTAACATTGCGTTAAGGTTGCGTTTGCCACCTGCGTGCATATCGGGGACTCACCTCTTTATGCATTTCTCTCTATCTCTCTTTCTCTCTTTCTCTTTCTATCTATCTATCTATCTATCTATCTATCTATCTATCTATCTATCTATCTATCTATCTATCTATCTATCTATCTATCTATCTATCTATCTATCTATCTATCTATCTATCTCTCTCTCTCTCTCACTCTCTCCCTACATATATGTACGCGTGTATGTCTGGCTCCGAAGATAGTCGATCGCGACTGTCGTCGCCTAAGTTATATCTCGGGGTGGTAAGCTGGCAAGGTTTATTGATGCGACTATAACGAATTATGTATTCTGGGGAAGAATAAAAATCGAATAAAAAATCTCGATGTTATATTTTTATCGTATTTTCTCATGAATAGGCGCGATTACGTTGACTGAAAATGGTATGAGATGGGTAAAACAGTTGAATAAAATGAATGAGAGAGATAGAGATAGAAATAGAGAAAGAGAGAGGGAGAGAGAGAAAGAGAGACGATTCGACACGTTGAGGATGATACCGGATACAAACTTTTGACATTAACCCATGGCCCAACTTGGTCCTTTCACACACCAGCAATCATATTTTTGCCTGGCCGCAAAATTATCTAATTGCCAGAGCTATAAAATATTGACCTAGTTGCCGACTAACTTTGGGACTCAGTCAAATTAAATGGTTGCTCACTTCCTACCTCCTCCTCCTCCTCCTCTATTTATCCTCTCCGTCTTCTGAACCCACCACTTTTAGATAATTTATTCTTTTTCCTTCTTTACTTGATGTCAATTTGAACAATCGATCGACATAATTGAAAGTGAATTAATAAAAAATTATTGATTAATCTAGATAAGCGTTCAATGAAAAAGTTGGGTTATCAAAATTATGATAAAAATTCTATATAAAAGTTATTGAAACTCTTTCAAAGTGTGAATCTTTAAAGAGAACGGAGCCTAAACTATAATAGAAATTTATAAAGACTGGAAAATTTATATGTTTTAACTTTTGCGATAGTTTTATCCTTTTTCCGATAATCACGGTTAACGGAAAGTCGATTAAAAAAAAAAAAGGAAAAAAAAGAAAAGAAAAAAAAAGAAAAAAGTGAAAGAGGAAAAGAAAGAGAGACAAAGGAAGGTAGAGTAAGGGAGAAGAGTACGGTACACTTTCCAGATAATCGAAACTTCTTCTTTCCCTCGAAGAAATTGGCTCGCACGAAATGTACTTCCCTATCTTCTTATTATTATCATCGTGTTCCTGCGTTAAACCAACTTCCGACTGCTTACATCGAGTCGAGATTTGTTTAAAGAATGTATAATGCAAGAGACCTCTCGCTGCAGTCGCGTTCCTCCTATTACGTCAAAATATGCAGATGAATCTTGGCGCGGTGGCTATGGTGCACTGGCTTTTGGATTTGTAGATGAGCCTTGGCGCAATCGCCAGGATGTTCTTGGAAAGAGATACTAAAGTAAGAAGAAGAAAGAAGAGGGAGAGGGAGTGGGAGAGAGAGAGAGAGAGAAGAAGTCTGGAGTCATATAAACTCCGACGTGTAATTCAGGAGAGTAAAACGATAGTCGATAAACTTGCACTCGGAACTTGCTCTTCTCTTCGAATCTATTCACCAACAGCGAGAGGGAAAGAGAAAGAGAAAGAGAAAAAGAAAGAAAGATAGAGAGAGAGAGAGAGAGAGAGAGAGAGAGAGAGAGAGAAAGAAAAAGAGAATGAGCCTGCTTCGACTGTTTCCATCGACCATCACTGACGATGTTGTTTCTTACATCTTCATCCGGTGGATGACGTAACGTCGCTCGTTCCTGTTCATTATCGACGTTTCTGTCGGAGAAAGATTCGGTCTTACGTAATTTACTTCAGTATCCTTTTCTTAATATTTCATTTGATATTTCGTTGTTCCTCGTACGATCGAGGAACATCTCTGTTAGTCTTTAGATGAAAATTTTCGAAGTAGATTTTCGAAGGAAATTTTAAGGGCGAAGAAAACGAGGCTGTCTGATAAAGAAATAGGAAGTTTCGCTTTTGAGAATTTGGTCTATGCAAATACAGTTGAACGGTCGGTCGGTTCCAAGAAAGGGGTCGAAGGCTGCGGAAGATCTCTCATCCTCTTTCTTTTCCTCCTTGCCCTCGTAGTCTAGTGAAAAAGTTCGGATGCTTCGCGACGAATACTAATTAAAGACTTGGGGAATGAAATTAGTTAGTCGAGGGGTCGGAGCTAACTCTCTCCGGAGGTAGGAGAGGTCCGTGGCCTGACGACGGAGAGCCGCTTATGATAATATAATAATACTTACTTGGCTCTCGGAGTGCTACCTTCAAGCTCATTATGCGTTTAGTTCATAACTTCAATTGAATTCTTAGCGTTCCCTTACCCTACCCCTTTTTCTTCCCTAGCTAAGGCTTTTGTACTTTTCCAAGGATCCTTTCCCATACTAACGTAACCATACTAATTTTCGAACGTAACCTATCCCGATTTAGGTCATTTTACACATTTCTGATATTGATATTTTCCGAAATAATTAACAAGAGTACCTATGATACCAATCTATGTACAGTATTGATAGATATTTCTGTTGTTATGGCAGCGCTCTTACTTGAATTACAACTCGATTATTCCCTGATTGTTCATCATTCTTTATTATTTTAACATTGTTGACAAATATTATTATCATTCAAACGTCATCGAAATCTCTACAATGATTGTCATTAATTTTACGTGATGGGAAATGTATAACATTTGAAATGGACCGATTTTACAAAGTAAAAGAAAAAAAAAATAATTTAAAAAATGTTAAAGTTTCACTGAGTTTTAAATGGTAAGGAATGAAATGCTTGAAAGTCAGAGTGAGAAGATTTTCCCAAAGGGTTTTCTTCTTTCTTTCGACAAACGAGAAAAAAGGTTCAAGCTACGGGAAGTTGGAAATTTTGTGAGACGTGTGTCGTAGAGTGATAGGGGTTCCTAGTGATAAAAGGAAAAGGACTTCTCAAAGTCGATCGCTGTACTATAGCCAACACGATAGTAATAGATTGTTGTAAATCGAAAAGCCAGTCAGTCGGTCGGTCGGTCGGTCGGTCGGTCGGTCGATTGGTTGGTTGGTCGGTGTGTACCTTGCCTCTTTTGCCCATGCCGTTTGAAAAAAGGCTCTCGAGTCCATCTCGAGATATCGATTAACAAACACTCGAACAGCGAGTGCTGCCTTTGCGGAGGCCGCTTTTGCAGAGTAACCGTTCGTGGTAAAGCCGTTTCGAGCTTTCCTGAATGGCACAGTGAAAGCTTTCTGAGCGAACGATCCACACTATGAGTGCGCGCGCTGGTATTAAAGAGAGAAAGAAAAAGAGAAGGAAAACGAGCAAACCTTTCGAACTCTCAACGATGAAAGAGAGAAAAATAAAAAGAGAGAAAAAGAGAGAAAGATTGAGAGAGAAAGAGAGAAAGAGAGAAAGAGAGAGAGAGAGAGAGAGAAGGAGAGAGATGAGGATAGAGACGGGGTTAGACGACAGACTCGATCATGCGCATCCACTTCTACGCGAATTATAGAATTTCGTCGACCTAATCGAATTCCGGTTGCGTCGATGAAATTTCCGCAACCGCGTGAACGCGGCTACGCGATATTTAATTTAACTCCATGCGAAGATTCGTATTCACATCAAGTAAACCGCATTTTGAGATAAACACGATGTTCCTTTGACGGATATCCCTCGTTCCTTATCTCCCCCCATTTCTCCATCTCCATCGTTAGTATCATCTCTCCTTGATCGACCGATATTTTATGTTATCTTAGCTAAAAAGAAATTGGAAGCTTCTTTTACTCAGAGAGATTTTTAAATATTCTTCCCCTTATTTGTTCGTTTCCTCCACTTTCATTCATCATATCCTCTTCAATTAATCTTAATCGTAATAAGACAGAGTTAAATATTTCGGGATTTCTATCGATCGATACGATTTAGTTTTTAATTAGATTCTAATTACGTTTCAGATTATATAAATTAAAAAAAAGAATGATTAAGGTTCAATTGTTCTTGACTCACCTTCAGATTTTGGTGCAGGCGGTTTGCGAGTCGCCCAATTCGTTCGAATACTTCTGCTACCGAGCCATTGCCCGTTCATGGTACCGATGGCGATTTCCGCTTCCTGAAACAATGAATGTTAATGAGTAAAATGGTTCAACCGATATAATGAAAGATAAAGCGAGATTGAGAAAACTCTAACACGCAGGATTTCTTTCTCTTTGAAATAGTCAAGATAGACTGGTTAAGATTGCTGCTTTTGAAAAAGACAAGTTTTAAAAAAAGAGAAAAAAAGAGAGGCAGAGAGGAAGAGAACGAGAGAGAGAGAGAGAGAGAGAGAACAGCTTTCGATAGACGGAACGATTCGTCTGTGCAAAAGGGGGTCGGGATAAATGGAATAAACGTAAGAAGTAAAGCCGCGTTACGAGCAACGGCAAACGGCTGTAACTCCAAGTACGCAGGACACCGATCGTAACTTTTATTTATTACTGCTCTGCTTTGAGAAAAGCACGCCCGTAAGCGGATCGAGAAAAATTTTACCGTCCCGGCTTCTTCGTGGAAATAGGAATAACGTTAACGTTTATACCTTTCGCGCGAGTGACGTCCTTTAATGTTCTCTTACGACTATCGAATCTAAGGTACGCGAAGAGAAGTAAAGAGATAAAGAAAGCAAGAAAAAAAGAAAGAAAGGCAGAGACGGGGGGGAGAGAGAGAGAGAGAGAGAAAGAGAGAAAGAAAGAAAAGGAAACGATGACGCACAAAGAACGAAGAAATTAAATCGGACTGATGGGACAGCTCGTTAAGTGGCTAAAGTAAATCGTAAGAACATAACGTCCCTTCTCTTTTACCCTCGAAAATGGCAGGGCTGGAAGTGGATCGAGTCGAAGATACGGTTAGTTCGAGAGGGAATTCCATTCGACAAATCGTACCTCCGATTTCTCGCATTTCCCAAGAACTGCCCTTGGCAAACTGCTGTGTTTCCCATCGCTGCTTTGAATTCCCTTTTCGAAGAAAAGGCGCTACCCTTTATGACGAAGGATAGAAGGGAAAACGAGCCTCCACGTGGTCAGGCTATTTGTTCTCAAGTAGGTAACAAAACGATCATGGCCTTGCTTCAATATACCTTTGGAACTATATATCTATGTATGTGTGTGTTTGTGTATGAGTGATTGTGTGTATGTTTAAATGTACTGGCCTATCTGATAGATGACTATTGTACAATTCGAATGAAAAATTATGAAGAATTTTCTCGATAAAGAAAAAGAAAGAAGGCAGAAAATGGAACAAAAATGAAAGAATCGTGTCCGACTATAACTGAGGAAACGTAAATATAAATTTGTAACAAAAGGTTCGTTTTGATAAAAAGACAACACTGTATAGTATACACACACACACATACACACATATATATATATATATATATATATATACATACTCATACACACAACTAACGGTATATCCTTGAGTTTTCCAAATGTTTAAGAAAGGTCAAGATAAAAAAAATTTTCGAGAATGGTAAACAGTAAGAAAGATAGAGAAAGGTAGAGAGAGAGAAAGAGAGAGAGAGAGAGAAAAAGAGAAAAAGACTTAAAAATAATCCTCGTCTTTATTTTATTCGACTGCTGCTTGGACGAAGCTTTGGAGTTGAGAAAAGATGAGATAAAAAGAGGCCGAGATCCAGAGAAAAGAAGAAAGAAAGAAAAAGAGAAAGAGAGAGAGAAAGAGAGAGAAGAGATGGCTGAAAATACTCCCGCCATTGAGAAATTCCAGCGGAAGGGGTTGACCGTCGAAAAGCTTCTCGCAAACGCGTGGTTGGAGAAAAGAGGGTGGTGAGCTCCCCCACCCTTTTCCCCACCGTTTGCGCCATTCGAAGGACTCGGGAGTTTTCTCTTCGTTCCTCTTCCACCTTTAACCTCTCTGCTTCTATCTCTTTTTCTCTTTCACTCTCTTTCTTTCCGTTCCTTCTTCTTCGACAGTCGTGCACCTTAACCACTTTTCCACTACTCCACGGTCCTTATCCCACGACATTTGTGCTCCTGTAGGATAAAGTATTTCCGATTCGAATTTCCATTCCCGATATGATGCCGCACATTCGCGCGGTTAGCCTAGATAGACCGCGAGACCGAACGCTCGGCTCTAAGCCGATTCTAAACTCCGGTCGATATCAACGTTCTCCTCTCGCTTCTCTTTTCGTATTCCTTTAGTGTGCTCCACCTTCAACATGTCGTTTCTCTTTCTCTCTCTCTCTCTCTCTCTCTCTCTCTTTCTCTCTCTTTCTCTCTCTTTCTCTTTCCGTATAATATTTCCATATTAAGTTTATTATAGTCATGTTATTACTTTTATTGCCAATTATTATCGTTTATTCTATTTTATTATATGATATATAATAAGGATAAGGATAACAGTCATAACAGCAATAAATATTGTTCTCTCTCTCTCTTTCTCTCTTTTTCTCTTTTTATGATTCACTTTAACATTTTGGAATTTCCGTTCAGTTCGAATTTGTTAAATTACGAATACTATTCTAGCTATCTTTTTTCTCATGCTTGAACCTATAACTTTATATGGAAGACGACTGTGTATAGACATTACCGATCAGTCATAAAGCTTTCTGACCGAAGCGACACCCAACTGCTTTGTATATATTACTAAGTCATGCTGGCTTGCTATGAGCACTGCTCAATGACGGCTTACGTGGCTTTTAAGAAAAAAGTTGCTTTCGAATTTTTCATTTTCTTTCGTGGTAAATGTCTATTCTTCATCGAATCCATGAAAAGATTTTTGGAAGAAAATTCTTGAAAATTGAACGAAATCTTCGATCGTTTCAACAATTTAAAAAGGTTGAAAGAAGAGAAAGAAAAAGAAATAAAAGATATCGTATCTTGTTCGTTAAAAAGAAAGAAAGAGGGAGAAATAGACAATGTGGATACTATCGGAAAAGAAGAGTAGCGTCCAGTATAGAATCCAAGGAATTCGTATTTTTGTTGGTTTTAGTAGTACTAGTAGTAGTAGTTATAGTAGTAGTAGTATAGTACTAGATCACAGAAAAGAGTTTGGAGGGGATGTCGTTTGGCTGTGCGATCAGAGTACGCGATTTAGATACGTGTATCCGGTGCTCGAAGGATATAGTGGTTGAGAGAGAAAGAGAGAGAAAGAAAGAGAGAGAGAGAGAGAGAGAGAGAGAGAGAGAAGAGCTCGAAACGGAGGGATGGAGGAAGAGAAGAGAAAAGCAGGAGGAGAAATTTTCGCGTGTTCCTAGAGGTTAGCGGAGACACCCGGGAAATTTATACTTCGGCAATAGTAATACCGTGGGTGTGAGTCAGGTGCCGGCGGTGGTCCAGATCGATAGGACATTAAAACAGAGGGGAAACGAAGGAAGGTTCTACCTCCGGGTTCGGCCGCCTCGACGAATAACCTCGCCATAAACGGGGGAAAGCCTTCTTTTACTCAGCCGTACATCTAACTTCGTCGTGATTTACGTCGCGGATTTTGGTGGGGTACAGTAAAACTCGGACTTACTCTCTCTTGCTCACTCGTTTGCTCATTCGCTATCATCCTCCCTCTCTCTCTCTTTCTCTCTTTCTCTCTCTGCTCCAAGAACGATGCTGTAAACCCTGAAGCTGCTTCCGCCAGCAACGTTCTGGTTCTGGCCAACCATCTCTTCGTATCCCTACTATTTCCATCGATTGAACATCGAAAGACCAGTTCCAACTTTCAACTTGCCGCTGTTAATTTCTCACGATTTCGATCTTTATGGATCGTCGTAAACTTCGTCATTTGTTTGCATCGAAATGGAACAGGTGCCGTATCGCCATTGAAACGATGTTGTCATAGCAAGCATATACGATGATGATATTGTGCGAATATATGTATATGTATGTGTACGTATTGTTGGAGAATGTGTGCATTCGAAACGATGATCGATAGATAAGTTTGTTTAGAAGAAGAGTCTATCTATGTAAAGTCCTACGTTTACGATCGTTGCCGAGGCTCTGTTCTTTTGTTCAAGTTCGCTCATTATCTCGGCAACGAGTTCTTCTAATAGGAAGAAGTTAATCTTTGCCAAAAGTTTTTGATTAATAAAGAAAAAAAAATGAGTGGTGGTTACAGTGGTAAAGTTTAGACCGGTGCTAACATTCTTTTTCTTTTTTTTCTTTTTTTTTTTTCTAAAAAGAAAAATATCGCTTACCGCTTTTTTGACAAAGGACACGAATCCATAGCCTTTAGACTTGAAGGTTTGTGGATCTCTGACGACTCTGCAATCTCTGTAACATTAAGAAAATAATTATGTTAGTAAAGATTAAAAGGAAAAAAAAAAGAAAGTTATGAACGATGATTACGATTAAACATTAGCTCGTGGTAAAACGAGACAATGGCATTAAGTTTTATATTGCGTTTCGTTAAGGCCATTTTGCCGACGTGAAAAAAAAAGTGAGACTAAGAAAAAAAGATGAAGAAGATGAGAAAAAAAGGAAAAGGACAAAAAAGTAGAACGAGGAACAAGTAAGTTTTAGCTTTGGTCGTTCGTCCAACGACGTAGAAGGCTAACAGCCCTCGGAAGGTACGAGTATAAAACAAATACGCTCTAAGTATACAAGTAAAAGAATGTGTTACTTCGTTCCTACCATTTCTAGCTTTTTCGTCTTCTAAACTCATGTTTTTCTTAGAAATGTAAGCGACGTTGAAGTAACGTTGCTATTAAGCGATGGGTCTTCTCTTGTAAATTTTTTTTTTCTTTATTAGTAAATATCCCTGGACATTTACTTTTATGGAATATGTACTTTAATCGATCAAATAAATACAAAGTAAACGAAGTAAAAATCTATGCTATATATATATATAGAAGAAGAAAGGTTTATATATATATATATATATATATATATATATATATATATATAACATAGATTTTGATAGAATAATGAATCGACCTATTTCCAGTTCCTTTTCTTTAAGGAACGTGTCTCTTGAATCAGCTGACTGTTGGAAGCATGCATCGCACGTATTCTGAGGCTATATGACCCCCTACTTGCAGAATATTATTACGGAGATATACAGATGCATACATATATCAAAGAAATTTCATAAGTAACGTATCCCTTACGTACCAAAGGGACGATCCTCGAAAATACGATTCTTGATTTTCTCGAAATACGTCAAAGAATTTAGAAGTACTCATATTTGAAAGAAAAGCATTGCGTACTTATGTGAAAGACCGAGAGAAAGGGGAAGAGAGAGGGAGAGAGAAAGAGAGAGAAAGAAAGAAAGAGAAAGCGAGATAGAAAGAGAAATAGATAGAGAAGGGAGTAAGCCTGGTTTGGACTTCCATGAATTCTTCCTCATAATTAAGATTCCAGCGGTGTCTGCCAGAGAAAATTAGGAATACCCTGAGGCTTGAGGTGTATCTCGTGGTCAGAGGGCCGTTTTGGAGGTATAGCAGGAAGCTTAAATAAAATATTCTTTCGACCGGTGGAGCCTGGCATGCGATGCGAATAAAATTTTTGAAATCGTGCACGTTTCTTCTCTCTCGCTTTCTCTCTCTCTCTCTCTCTCCCTCTCTTTTTCTCTCTTTCTCCTACCATTTCTTTTGGTCTTTTTGTATTTCCCGCATCCAAGTATCTAGTAACGGAGATTAGGAGTTTTTAAAAGATGACTTATCATTTGTACCATATGTTTTTAGTAGATTTTCCATCGAAAAATAAAATAATTTTTGTATCAATCTCAGTGTCAAGAAATACTTGTTGTAATATATATGTATATAATATATATATATGTTGTAATATATTGTTAATGTATATAGAAATAAGAAAAACTGAAAAATTTATATAATAATAATGAAAGAATTGATCTTCTCACATTTTCCAAAATACATTTTCCTTCGTGTTCCTGAAGAATCTTTGTTTCGTTTGGAAGATATAAACTTTGAAAGATTCGATCTTTTAGCTTAATCGTCGGAATCGATTAGAAAATTTTTATATGTACGATGCACCTGCGAGAGAAAAATAACAATAAGGATAATAATCTGTATGTTTTCTCGATAGATATTTTTATCTCCCAAGGATTACACTTAAGTGATTCGAGTGTTTTAATATACATTGATGATAAGATGGGGAAAGTAGTAACTCTCAAAATATTTTGAAGGAACTACTTGGAGGGTTCTTCGTTATTCGTTTTCCTATTTTTTTTTTTTTTTTTTTTTTTTTTTTTTTATAAACATTTTACTTTCGAGGATATTAGCGAACTTTGTGCTTCGAAGCTCGCAATTTGTAAAATAATTCTTTTTTCATGACTGAAATAAAAAGAGGTCGACGACTGGAGTGCCTATCGGCTGAAAGCATTCGCAAAACACACGTTAGATCATAGGCATTCGTTTTGCGAAAAGAATCAAAGGGATTAAAGTCGTGCATACTCTTTTTCCTCAACTCTTTTTCGTACCCTTTCTATCTCTCTCTCTCTCTCTCTCTCTCTCTCTCTCTCTCTCACTCTCTTACACTCAATCGCACTACTTTCCCGTCTGTAGCTCCTTTCTGTGGAGACTGGTCTCTCCGTTTTGAAATGAAAAGACTCGCTCTCTTTCCGCGTTACGGAAAAGAGAAAAGTCGTTAAACGTGTAATCCGTGGCACCGCGATTTAACGCGTTAGACTTAAAAAGCCTGGTAAATATTATTTTCCGTACTGTGCGCGAATGAAATCGTAAAAGGGAAATGGCTGCTGGTAACTGGAAGACGAGGGTGTGAGAGAAAGAGAGAAATAGAAGGAAAGAAGGAA